GAGGAGACAGCAAACAGCGAAAGATAATGGGGACAGGGACAGAGTGGTGGATAAGAGTACCAGGTCAAGGGAATGAACCACAGGTTAAAGGGATAGTGTCACAGTAGGGATGGGCACAGGGGAGAGGAGAGATGAGACAGGGTGGCCGAAGAATGAGACTGTCAGGTAAAGGGGTTGGTGATGAGCTAGAACAAGGTGTAGGAAAGCAATTTCTTTTCTATTTTATGTGTGTGACTGTATCGCCTATTTATGTATGTATGTATGTATGTGCACCCATGTGCGCAATGCCCACATAAGTCAGAAGAGGGCGTTGGATCCCCAGGAACTGGACTTACAGCTGGTTGTTAGCTGCCATGTGGGTGCTGGGAACAGAACCCATACCTCTAGAAGAGCAGTCAGTGCTCTTGACTGCAGAGTCATTTCTCCAGCCCCAGAAAGCAGTTTTGTAACCCAACACCTCTGCTCCCTGTCCCCAGCAGCACCAGCCTCCATCCTGACTGCACTCTGAGAGAGATGGCACCAGGCAGAGTAAGATTCTGCCTCCTGTACCAGACATGGTTGCACAAGCCTTTAATCCCAGTGCTTGGGAGTCAGAGGCTGGTGGATCTCTGTGAGTTCAAGGCCAGCCTGGTCTACATTGTGAGGTCCAGGCCAGCCAGGGCTCCAGGAAGACCCTGTCTCAAAAAGACCAAAAAGAAAAATTTTGTCTCCTGCTCCAACTCTTGCTCCAAGAGCTGTGGGTGGCTGAGGTCAGCACCAAGCCTAGCCACACGACCTCCTCTCAGTGGTTTAAAAGTCAGCATGTACAGCCCAACCCCCAAGCATGCAACTCAGTCATGGGCCACATCAACAAGTACACCAAAACCTGTGAAAACCGCAACACCTTCCTGCACGCGTCCTTCTCCAGTGTGGCCTCCACCTGCCGGACTCTGGCCCTAGCCTGCAAGAATGGCCGGAAGAACTGGCACCAAAGTCAAAAGTGTGTCCCTGACCACGTGTGAACTCACCTCCAGGAAGATCCCGAACTGCAGATACACAGGAAGCATCAGAGTGCATTTTACATAGTAGCCTGTGACCCTCCTCAGGAAGAGAACTCTGGAACATTCCAGCTGGTTCCTGTGCACTTGGACCAAGTACCTTAGGTTTCCAGACTTCCAGACTCTTCGGCTGAGTCCTAATCACCTGTCCAGGCCTCTGCTATGAGCCTTCTTTTCCCCTGTCTCTTGGGTCTTTCCTGCATCAGGCTCTTCAGAGAGGATGAGGGAGCTGACAGTTGTGTAGGCCAAGCTCCAAGGAGTGAGCCCTTCATATTTTTGTTCATGTGCTCCTAGAAACTTATCCCCGAGAAAGGGGATGAGCAAGCTCAAGAGGCTGGGCTTGCCGGTTTAGGCCTTAAACATCTCTCCCTTCCCTGTCTCTTTATTTTGTTTCTTTTTTTTATTACTTTTATTTTATGTGATGAGTGTATTGCCTACATGTATGTGAGTGCACCCGTGTCGTGCTATGCCACAGAGGTCAGAAGAGAGCTTTGGATTCTCCTGGAACTGGAGTTAAGGATGATTTGTAGCCGCCATGTGGGTGCTGAGAATCGAACCCGGGTCCTCTGCAAGAGCAGTCCGTGCTCTTAACCACTAAGCCATCTCTCCAACCCATTTTTGTTTTATTTTTATATGTATGTTTTACCTGCATGTAAATGTACCTGTATTGTGCAGGGCCCACAGAGGCCAGAAGAGGGTAACAGATTCCCTGGAACTGGAGTTATAGATGGCTATAACTGTCATGTGGGTGCTGGGAACAGAACCCAAGTCCTTTAGAAGAATAGTCAGTGCTCTTAACCACCGAGCCTTCTCTCCAACCCCTCCCTGCCCTGTATATGGCAGCATGACAGAAGAAAAGTAATAATAAATAAATAAGGAACAGGGATATATGAAACTCACAGACAGTGCTGTTTCCATTCCTAAGCTAGAAATCTTTCCTGTTCTGACCCAGTAAGGTGACTTGTGTGGGGACAGGTGTCTGGAGGGAACGGAGAGCACAAAGGAATGCTACGTCATATTCTACCCATAGCACTCGGTGCCTTTCATAATCTACCCACATGAATCATCTACTCCCTGCTGAGATGGATCTGACAGGGATCACTTGCCTCCTTTACCGATGAAGAAATTGAGATTTCAGAAAGCTTGATTAAAAAGCTTGTCAGGGCTAGAGAGATGGCTCAGCAGTTGAGAGCACTGGCTGCCCTTGCAGAGGACCTGGGTTCTATTCCCAGCACCCACATGGCTGCTAACAACCATTTGTAACTACAGTTCAAGGGAATCTGACAAAAAATTAAAAATTAAAACATTTAAAGAGCTTGCCTGAACTTGAAAACAGGTGTCCTCAATCTCACCACTGTGCTACTGTACCACTTGGCTAAGAAAAGAGACCAGTGCAGGGACAAGAGAAGTAGGTAAACGTTCCCTCGTGAAAAAAAGGATCCTGAGAGCTCAGTAGACCTGCTTACCCTTGCTGGCCTCTGTATAGGTCATTACCTATCTAGCCAAGAGACTTTTTATGAAGTGACCTGGGATCGTAATTCACTCTCCCCCTCTCCTCACCCCCAAGCCCACTGCATTTCCAACCTGGGCTCCAGGCTGGGCAGTGGCTGGATCCCCTTAGCCTGATTGCATAAGGTACGGGGAGTGTCCCAGTTTCATTGCCCTGTTTCCAGATCACATTTCCCTAGACCTTAAGGAACTTCCGTGGCCCAGAGCCTGCTTGTCATAAAGAGATAGTAAAGCTGCCAGAACTTCCTCCTGATAGGACCTCCCTTGCCTCCGTGCTTCCTAGGCTCTCCGCACAGGCAGTGTGCCTGGGCCTGAGGAGGTGGGGTGCTGGAATGCATCTCCCTGACCCCTGGATGGCAGCGCCTTTCTCCTGTAGCGAGCCCAGCTGGAGAAGCTCTCTTTGGGATGACAGCCCTGGGCGATCGCCCGACCTGACCCTTCCCATCCTTTTCCTCTTGCTTTATCTCAGTTCCAAACTGCCCTGTGCCCCATGCCCATCCTATGTCGGATCACCCATTGTTAGGCCTTCCTGTCCCTGCTGAGTGTTTTACCCCACTACCCCAACTAGTTTACTCCTAACTGGAGTCGGACACGCTTTGGAGCTGTGGAGCCAGGCAGAATTGAGTATAAATCCAGGCTCCTGGCTCAGCTGTAAAAGTGACCTTGAGCTCTGTTACTGAACCTTTCTGCGGGTCTGTTCCTTTAAAATGGGAATAACCCTACCTTCTGAACAGGGTTATAGGAAGATTTAGAAATGACATTTAAGAAGCAAATGGTAGTGGTAGTTTTAGTGGCAGCAGTGTCCCCCTTTGGCAAACAGCAGACCATGGTAAGCACCCCACCAGGCTTCCCAGGGACTTTGTTCTGCTAGCGTGATCTTCATAAGTACCCAGAGGCATACCTGTCCGGCACAGTCCACTAAGTGAACCGTGATTTGAGAGGAAATGGGGAGAAGGTAAAGGAAGGGTGAGCAAAAGAAAGTTGTGCTGGGGATGCAGCTCCGTGATGCTATACTTCGTGTACAAGGCCCTGGGTTCAATCCCCAGTATTGACTGAAGGAAAAAAAGAAGGGAAAAAGTATTTAAGGAGGGGAGCTACAGAGGGGAGAGTGAGAGAGCGGGCAGTGGGGGAGTCGGGGGAGAGGGTAAGACATCGAACAGTTCAGACAGAACGTGAGTCGGCGGTCGACGCGTTGGCGTTAGGAGGTTGGAAAGGAGAAGAGTGCTAAGAAAACACTGTGGCCGAATGCCAGACAACCGAGTAAAACGTCTCTGTTTCCTGGGAACAGAGCATTGCCATCGTAGTTTGACTTGTAGGATACTCAAATAAATCTCGTTGGATCTAAAACCTTATTAATGATTAATTAACCTGATTAATTTAGCACTCCTGTGATCACCATACCTCACATTTATTCGTGTGTGTGTGTGTGTGTGTGTGTGTGTGTGTGTGTGTGTGTAATTGCCATACCTCACATTTATTTGTGTGTGTGTGTGTGTGTGTGTGTGTGTGTGACTGGGAATTGAACCTAAGGCCCTACACACGCTAGGCAAACATGCTGCCACTAAGTTAATCCCCAGCCCAGTATACATTTACTGTAAATAGTTTTCAACTGTGATGCATAGGAAAACGAGACACTTGGAAGCACCTGGATTTATTCTTTTTTTCACCCCACAATTCTTTATATTCTTTGTTGGTGAGGATTTTTTAATAACTTTTTGTTGATTTTGGGGGAGGGCATGTGCGTGGAGGTCAGAAGACAACTTACAGACTTTTTTTTTTTCTTTTCTCATTGACCTTTATATATTTTTTTAATTTTTACAAAAACTTTATTGAGAATTTATACATGTATATAAGATGTTTTGATCTAGTCCATGCCCACTCCCTCCCCTCCAACATTCCCCCCTCTGAAGAGGTAACCCTAAAGCATAACTGTTCTCTCTGCACCCTGTTCCACTATGTTCCATGAGCCTCAGGTGTAGAGGTTCCATTGTAGATGTGTCACTTAGGACTGGGGATATCACAGACACTTACTCTTTGTGTTCGGCCAGCTATGGAACTCTTAATAGTCTCCATCTGTTGCAAAAAGAAGTTTCCTTGATGAATGGTGAAAGGTATGCTTCTCTGTAAATATAAGGATATATATTTAGCATACAGTGAGAAATTATGTTTGTCTACAGATGTGACATGTGTGGTGTTTTCTCTAGCATCTATGACCTCTCCAGTCATGTGTATTTGACTATGTTTACAATACCACACATGAGTTCCCTCCCATTGAGCCAGCTTTGAGTCCACTTAGATAGCTGTTGATTACTTTCATGATCAGAACTGCCACTACTGCACCAATAGAGATAGTTTGCTGTGCTGGTCATTGTTGTAGTTATTAGGCTTAAAGCTGGGGTTGGACCATTGATTAATTTTCTTGCTTAGCAGCTTGCATCCTCTGAAACTATGAGAGCTAGTCTTCAGGGAGGAGGCTTCGAGGTCAGTTCTAGCTCCATCGCTCCAAGTCCTGTGTCTGAAGTATGTCCTGTCTTCAGCAATAGGATCTTACCTCAAGGGCTGTAGCAATAGCTTGTGTCATTATTGGGGTCTCTTGGACTACCCTGACCAACAACTTAAAGGGTTGTTTCTTCTATCTGACACTGTGTTTCTTGTTATACAGCCTTAAGCTATACCATACACTCATATACAGATATTATATACATATTTTTCAGTAAGCATACACTTCCTTCTGGCTTTTCACACAATCTAAGCATCATTTAACTCTCCTCTTGCTCCTTGCTAAAACCCTCCTCGCTTCCCAGTTAAAGTAACCCCATTTCCCGCTTTTCCCCCACATTGATACCTGTCTCCTATTATCCCCCATCTCTTGAGAACCTTCTTTTCCTTTACCCCTATTATTCCTTGTATAACCCTCCCTCCTCTTTTCCCAGTTAAACATCCCCATGTTCCCCATTTTCCTCCTCTTGGCAACACCTGTCTCCTACTAACCTCTGCTCTCTCTCTCTCCTTCTTTCCCTTTACCTCCCTGGCTTCTTTCTGTTTTCCTGTCTCCCGTGGTTATATCAGTATATGTACCCATAAGGGCTTGGTGCTAAGATCCACAAGTGAGAGAGAACATGCACTGCCTGTATTTCTGAGTCTCTGTTAGTTCATTTAGTATAACAGTTTCAAGGTCCATCCATTTACCTGAAAATTTCATTTCATCTTTCTTTACTCCTGAATAGAACTCCACTGCATAAATATACCACATTTTTGTTAACCAATCATCAGTTGAGGGACACTTAGGTGCTTCCATCTCTTAGCTATTGTGAAAAGAGCAGCAAAAATCATGGTTGTACAGGTGTCTCTACAATAGGATGAATCCTTTGGGTATATGCCAAGGAGTGGTATAACCAGGTCATATGGTAGGTTCATTTTTAGTTTTTTAAGAGTTCTCCACACTGTTTTCCATAGAAACTGAACAAATTTGCAATCCCACCAACAGTGAATGACCATTCCCCTTTCTCTGCATCCTTGCCAGCATTTGGTACCATTTGTTCTCTTGATCCTAGACAGTCTGATTGGGGTAATGTGATACTTTATGCGCCACCATG